GAACTTTCACCATTAATTCCTTTTTCAATTGTTCCTCGACCTATGTGGTATACTATCTCTCCTGTCCCTGTGGTTTGCTATACATCGGCCGTACCAATAGAATGCTTAGAAAGAGGTTCGGAGAGCACCAACGTTTTGTGCAGGATGCTAATCCAAAACACAGTGTTCCCCACCACTTTTCCGAGTACCACCATAAATTGAACCTTGGCCTCCAGGTATGGATAATTATTATTATTATACAAGATTTATATAGCGCCAACAGTTTGCTCAGCGCTTTACAAAATTAAGGTAGACATTACAGTTACAATACAATTTGGTACAAGAGGAAACAGAGGGCCCTGCTCGTTAGAGCTTACCTCTAATTGATTCCATGATAAATACTCCACAGCAGAACACTTTCAATTATTATGTAGACAAGAAACTTTTTGGATTCATACGTTGGACACGTTAGCCCCAAAAGGGTTAAATGAAGAGATTGAGGTTCATACTATTCTATAATTTCAGTCTCTTATTATTATCTCTGTTGTTCACACGATCAATCTATATCTAACTGTATAAACTAAGTCCCATTCTTACACACCTACACACAATATTAATAATTTATAATTGCTTAGTTTTTAAAACTCTTTTAATGTTCTCATTTTATATGTATATATATTTTTATATGTATATATATATATATATATATATACACACACACACATACACACTAGCATCATTTACCCAATGATTTGGGTGCTGATCCCATATGTAGATCCTTTTTTATGATTTTTTTATGTTTTTTTTTCATATTGCTTTTGGTTATTATTCTATTAGAATTTATCCTAATTATTATGATCTGCTATGTTCTGTGCTATCAATCATTGGTTGCTATTATGCATATTGCTAATCGGTTTCTTCTAGATCAGGGGTGGGCAACTGTGGCCCTCCAGCTGTTGGAGAACTACAAGTTCCATCATGCCTCTGCCTTTGGGAGTCATGCTTGTAACTGTCAGTTTTGCAATGCCTCATGGACTTGTAGTTCTACAACAGCTGGAGGGCCACAGTTGCCCACCCCTGTGACCTAGATTGATTTTCATTATGATTCTCTTCTCATAAGATTCATATGTTAATATGCCTTTTTTATTATAATCAATATATCTTTTTCTGTATGTCGCTATCCTCTTGTACAATACATTTTCTGTAAAAATCTATGAATCGTTTCTGTGTAAGTTGACTGAATCGGTTGAGCCGCATCCGCCCCACCCACATAATTCCCCATAAAAGATTGACTGCCCCATTGTCCAATCAGGTTAAATCAGGTTAAAAGAAAAAACGGAAGCTTTGAAACGCGTCACCTGACTCATCACCTGACCCATCCTCGCATCTCCTATTGGTTGCCCTCTGGTTCCGGACTTCCATGCTTTCCACGCTGGTTACGGCACCTGTCACGGCGTCCACCGCTGACACTGCCGACAATCCATCATGCACTACTCTCTCCTGGGACCCGGGCATCACTGGACACCATCAGCCCCTATACTGGCCCTCTTGAGGGCATATTATCAACGCCTTATTACATTTCTTCTTTGTTGGCACCCCCTTGTGTTTTTCTTAGAGTCTGCTTCACTCTATGGGGAGCTGCTACCACTAGTGTTAATACCATGGACTTTATGGACTGATTTTATATGTTTCTTATTCATGTGTTTTATTAATTTATCTTTTAATACCATTTGGCTATTATCTCCTCTCAGCGCCAAATTCCTAAACTATTCAGTTTTAAACCACACCTGGTGAAAAGTTAGTGAAACCCTGCCATCTGTAAAGAAAAAAAAACCCTAGCGGTTTTGTTCAGCGTTACTGTACTTTCTCAGTAACACACTGGCTATGGGCCCGCTATCTCGCTGTGTGCCTTTTGTCATGCTATGACTTTGTGCGTTTCTGTGCTCAATGCCAGTTATTGTCCTGTTGCATGAATTTGAATATATTACAGAGTCAGAAATACTGCATAATAGGGAGCTAATGTGACATTTGTTTCAGTATCGCAGCAGAATAATTTTATTCAGAAATATTATTCCTGACATTTTGCTTTGGGTTGTTTTCACATGCTTAGATATTCTGTGTAAGAAGGGAAGTTAAAGTTCAGGAACATGTGCAGATTAGTTTATTAATTCATTAATATTCAATGTAATTGCAGCTCTGTGTTACATCTCAGTTTATAATCTTCCCTCAGGATTTCTGCTCAGAACATATTATAGAAACATTGCAAAGCAAAGGGATCAGACACGGGTTGACTTACTAAAGGCGAATAGGCTGTGCACTCCAAGTGCACTTGGAAGAGTACTGAAAATACAGTTGCTCTAGATCTGAGGGGAACATGCAAGGAAAATATAAAAAAAAACATAATTTTTGATTCCATATGATTGGATGAAAGAAATCAGCAGAGCTTTGCCTCACTTCAGAGTTTCCCCTTGGATATAAAGCAACTGCATTTGCAGTGCACAGTATATTTACCTTTAGTAAATCAACCCCACAGTCTCTTTACTGCACCCCAGGATAGTTTTATATTTTGAATAATTTAAGTAGCAATAATTACCTAGGGAGATAAAACTTGGTCCCCCCCCCTGGCCTAACTGCCATTGCACTAACTTACTGTTGCCCCTAAGTATTCACTAACCCATCAGTGGCAACCAGTTGAATGACTTTACTCTGCCATCATTGTGCTCTTCCTTGCTTGAAGATTCTATTTCCTTAAAAGACCAGGAAAGACAGTTGGGGACTACATGATACCCTAAAAATAGCAATGCAGTGTTCCCTTTGCCAAAAAAGTAACATTAGCCTGTCCTGTAGGCTGTGTATTTAAGCTGAGCAATCTTGAATAGTGTGCCTTTAAGCTGAGCCCAACAATAGACTTGAGTGAACTTCATGAAGGTGCTCCCCTTTATCAGCCAATGTCTTGTCTTCCAGGCCCTAGCATAGGCACACTTCCACTCCTAGGGAATTAGGAGCAGGGACCAGGAGGCAAAGACCTATCTAGCAGCATGTGCTTACCAAGGTAAACCTGGGAGGGTAAAGGACCATCTAACACCACATCCTCTCCAGGACAAGCCTGAAAGCCTAAGTATCCATCTAATACTGCATGCTCTCAAAGACAAGCATGGGAGGCTAAGTATCCATCTAATACTGCATACTCTCAAAGACAAGCTTGGGAGGCTAAGTATCCATCTAGTACTACATGCTCTCAAAGACAAGCCTGGAAGGCCAAGTATCCATCTAATACTGCATACTCCCAAAGACAAGCCTGGGAGGCTAAGTATCCATCTAATACTGCATGCTCTCAAAGACAAGCCTGGGAGTCTAAGTATCCATCTAATACTGCATACTCTCAAAGACAAGCCTGGGAGGCTAAGTATCCATCTAATACTACATACTCTCAAAGACAAGCTTGGGAGGCTAAGTATCCATCTAATACTACATACTCTCAAAGACAAGCTTGGGAGGCTAAGTATCCATCTAATACTGCATACTCTCAAAGACAAGCTTGGGAGGCTAAGTATCCATCTAATACTACATGCTCTCAAAGACAAGCTTGGGAGGCTAAGTATCCATCTAATACTGCATACTCTCAAAGACAAGCTGGGACGCCAAGTATCCATCTAGTACTACATGCTCTCAAAGAAAAGCCTGGGAAACTAAGTATCCATCTAATACTACATTCTCTGAAAGACAAGCTGGGAGGCTAAGTATCCATCTAGTACTACATGCTCTCAAAGACAAGCTGGGAGGCTAAGTATCCATCTAGTACTACATGCTCTCAAAGACAAGCTGGGAGGCTAAGTATCCCTCTAATACTGCATACTCTCAAAGACCAGCCTGGGAGGCTAAGTATCTATCTAATACTACATGCTCTCAAAGACAAGCTGGGAGGCTAAGTATCCATCTAATACTGCATACTCTCAAAGACCAGCCTGGGAGGCTAAGTATCCATCTAATACTACATGCTCTCAAAGACAAGCTGGGAGGCTAAGTATCCCTCTAATACTGCATACTCTCAAAGACCAGCCTGGGAGGCTAAGTATCCATCTAATACTGCATGCTCTCAAAGACCAGCCTGGGAGGCTAAGTATCCATCTAATACTGCATGCTCTCAAAGACCAGCCTGGGAGGCTAAGTATCCATCTAATACTTCATGCTCTCAAAGACCAGCCTGGGAGGCTAAGTATCCATCTAATACTGCATGCTCTCAAAGACCAGCCTGGGAGGCTAAGTATCCATCTAATACTACATGCTCTCAAAGACAAGCCTGGGAGGCTAAGGATACGTCTAGATGGGTTCCCAGGATATTTATCTCCTTCCTTAGCCTATATCACTGGCAATTAATCTTCTAGTGATTTGCCAGGATGAAGTAAACGCTCATAATTCATAACAATGTGTTTTTCTTCTTGCTCTATCTGTTAGAAAACACTCCCCAGCAACAGGCAGAATCAAACATTATTCTGAATTGTGAAAAGATTAAAGCCTACATTTAATTGGAGGCACTTCAACTTTGACAGTCATTTCACTTATACATGCAGACTTAAACTGGCCATACACAGATTGAAATTCAGTCGGTTCAGCAGGGACTGACCGAATTTTGATCAGTGTATGTCTGTCCTTGCTCTACAGAAGTCAGTCGTTGGATCAACTTCTTTTGAAGGGACTTGTTGAAACCTGTTCTCGATCAGTGGCTACAGCCTCTAGGCTGCAGCTGCTGATCAGTGTGTTTTGACAACTCTAGGTACCAGTGTGGGAACATAATGTGTTGGTGGGGGGAATTCCTTCAGCCATTACATTTGTGTTCAGCCTACTATATAAATGACAAAAAGTAACAGCGTATGGCCAGCTTTAGCAGGATTCTATCAGGATATCATTGCTGCTAATGACAGGTTTACAGAGTGCTTTGAGACTCTCTTTCCTCCTTCCTTCTCTACCTAGCGAGTCACTGACCAGGTGTATGTATTTGGACCCATTATAAGCTCATGCTGATTTTGCATTTCCGGGTAGGGTGCGCCATTCGTGGCCGTGGCTGTCAATCACCAGGTCCCAGCTGGTGGTTACTCGAAGATCTCGGTGATTTGCAAAGATCTCTGACAGGGAGGAGAACTGTTTTATTAACTAACAGTTCTCCTCCCTGTCAGCTCGGGCACACTGCTCTGGATGGCTGTGCACAGCACAGCCATCCAGAGCAGTGTGATTACAGTGAAGCACACAGACACTGCCCCTTAGTAAAATACTCCCTGCACACAGTTAACCCTTTGATCGTCCCTCATGTTAACCCCTTCTTTCCCCGTGCCATTAATACAGTGTCAGTGCTTTTTTTTAGCACTTATCACTGTATTGATGTCACTGGGGATGTCAGTGACACCAAGTCAGTTCCTCCCAGTCCCAGAATGCTCGCCACAGTCCCGCTATAAGTCGCTGATTGCCACTATTACTAGTAAAAATAAAAATCCCAGTATATATACTGCCATTTGTAAACGCTATAACTTTCACGTAAACCAATTAATTTACACGTATTGGGATTTTTTGTAGCAAAGACATGTAGCAGAATACATTTTAAAGTTATGACAAAATTAGATTTTTTATATTTTTTTACTGGACATGTTTAATTGCAAAAAGTCAAAAATATAGTTTTTTTCTCAAAATTGTCAGTCTATTTTTTTTTTTATAGTGCAAAAAATAAAAAAATGCACAGGTGATCAAATACCATCGAAAGAAAACTCAATTCTTGGGGAAAAAAGGATGTAAATTTAATTTGGGTGCAGCATTGCATGACCGGGCAATTGTCAGTTATAGTAACACAGCGCCATAATGCAATAAATGGCCTGGTCAGGAAGGGGGGTAAATTCTCAGGAGGGCAAGTGGTTAAACAGTGAGGGACGGAGATGGGGATTGTCAAAGTACATTGAACAACTCTAGAGTAGGAGGGAACTACTGAGAGATCCCCCTAGGACAGAGGTATCGAATTAAAATTCAAGGTGGTCCAGGCACTAAAATTTCTTCTGGCCGAGGTCCGAATAGGGTGTGCCCATCAGTGTGCCGCCTTACATTAGGCGTCGCCATCAGAGTGCAACATTACATCATGTAATCAAGTATAGTTGCATTTTTGGTTCTATAGACTTCAGACTACAGAAAAGCATGTAGTGCATTTATGATGCATTTTGTTATCTGCCTAGCAACAAGAAAACTAAAAAAAAAAAAGAAAAAAAAAAACCCCATCAAAAATGCAGGTGAAACAACGCAATGCAGAAACGGCTCAAACACAACCATCTTCCACCCAACACTATCCACTTCTCCCAGGCTCTCCCATACTTAAGGGCTGCCCTGACCGCTTGCCAAGCCTCCTGCTTGGGCATTGGTCAGAATCCCCTGAGTATGCAGATCAGCCCCCTCCTCACCCCCACCCACTGCCTTCTAGAAACTTCTCAAGCTTCAAAAGAAGGAGGAGATATCAGTGAACTGACCTGCAGAGCCCTCAGCCCTGAACTAAATTGAACCTGGCTGACTTATCTCAGGCTGACTCACACCAAGCTGCTATCCAGCCTCTAGCTGAAAACCTACCTAGCTCCCCCTAGCTACCTAGAGGGGCGCTACATTATTTATAATGCTTTGTATGGTATCTTGAATTTTTTATATTTGTGATATGTTTTTCTTATTTCTCCTAAGCTAATTCATTTCCATTTTTTATTTGTCTGACTGACAATCTAGGAGGAAGTGAGAATGTGGCATCTTTGTGTGGTTAAAGGAAAGTTCACTTTTGAGAACATGTTAGATGTTCCACTTTTTTTTGGGGGTGGAACATGTAACATGTTCCCACTGCTGCCTGATCCCCCCCTCCCTGTGACAGCAGTACGGGGAGAAGTTCCTCATACTAGCTGTCAGTTTTTGAAAACAGCATGGCTGTGTGTGTTCTGTGAATGAACGAGCCACAAGTCGCAACTACAACAACTTACACAACTAAAGCTGCAAAGTTTGTTGGCTTGTAGTTCTCAATAAACTACCACGGCGCTGCTGAGTGCTGTGATAGATCATTGGGTCTTCCTGTCAGACTTTACCTGCTTGCCTGTATGGGATGTATGGGCACACAGATACACTGAGAGTTTGCAGGAGTCCTGCATGGCACCAGCGATCTGCTGATCACTGTGCAATGCTTTCCAGGCTCCAAAAAAAAATAAATGCACATTTTTTTACCTGCAAAAAAATGGGCATTTTTGTTTTTCAATACGTGAACTTATCCTTTAAGGATTGGCCAAATGGCATTAGCGGTGATGTTTGTTTTATCCCGATATGATGTTAATCGATGGTTGCTTATTTTCAAGGACTGACAAACATTTCATATTTCTACTATTCCTATGACTGGAGGGAGTACTAATGTTCACCATCCACTGAAAGTTAGGAATTAATTGAAAAGACCAGGTGAGCTGATCAATGACTTATTTTTAACTCTTCCCAAACACCCCTATAGTGTTTGACAGGCATTAGACAGGCGTTTGGGAAGTGTTTTAACACTCTTGAAACGCTCATCAAATGCTCCCCAAACGCCCTATGCGCGTTTTTGAGGCGTTTGGCAGTCGTTAAAACCGCACCACAAACGCCTATAATGAAGTTAAATGGTATTGCTCTTTGCTCATTTTGTTGTTTGCTCTTCATCGTTATTCAGTGGTATGGGAAGGACTTTATTTAATATTATGATACGGAAAGCAATGTGGTACTATCCTAGCTATGTGCATCCTAAATGCCTCGCAAACCCCTTGCAAACACCCCGCAAACACCTGCCAGGGGTTTGAGGAGCGTCACCATAGACTTGAATGGGAGGCTTCAACTCCTCCTGACTCAACATGAGTAGGGCCGGACTGACAACTCATGGGGCCCCTGGGCAATAGGGGATCATGGAGCCCCTGTGTCCTTGCCTAAAAAAGTAACTCAAAAAACCCTTTGAAAAAGGTACCAGGGGCATCTCATGGGGCCCCCTACTGACCCCGGGCCCTCGGGCAGTGCCCGAGTTTCCAATTGGTCAGTCCGCCCTTGAACATGAGGTGTCAGATTTGCGACGTGATGCTAACGCTTCAGTGTGAACATGTGCAGAATTTTCATAGGCGTTTGAGAAGCGTTGAAAACTCTTCCCAAACACCTGTCTGACGCCTGCTGACAAAGCTAGTGTGAACATAGCCTAATGTAAACCATACATGACTTGAATTCTGAAAGAATTTTCCTTTGAAAATCATAACTAAGAATTTTTAGTTTGAATTTTGCACCTTTGGTGGGCTGCAGCATCAGCTGATTTTTGCGTAGCCATTGAATTTGAGTGACCGGGCATGTTGGAAATTTTTTGAAAAGCAACCAAATTTCTAATTAATGATGGGAGAATCGTGCGAGAAATATAATCAAAAAAGAAATGAGCATGAGCTGTGACCTGGAAGAAGATTGCCAGCCACAAAAATTCTTTTCTGTAGCAACATAAGGTAAAATTGAAGGCTTGGTTGGTCAAATTTCGAAAGCAATGGTGGCACCATTGGATAATAAAACGCACAAAATTTTTGATTGTCTAAAGAAAATTAGTTCAGAATTGAATCCTGCCTAAACTGAAACTGTGCTTATAAAATACAGTAGATACTGCATAGATCCAACTTTTGATTTGCTGTTTCCAGCTGTACGTCAGAAGCCTGCAACACACAAAGCACTATTTAGTGAGCATGCTGCTTTAGCCTGCAGAAGGGGAGAAAGTTCTAATCGAACAGCCACTCAGCTGCTCCACAGCTTAGCCAGCTTCTAGGAAAGGGAAGCAGCTTTTTTTTTTATAGTGTGTCACTTAAGGAGATCCTGGAAAAGAACAGGTCCAGGACTTCTCCAGGGTGTCACCCATCCTCTGGAACTCCCTGCCCCAACCCATCAGATTATCATCTACTCTCCTCTCCTTTAGGCGCACCCTGGAAACCCATCTCTTCAGGGAAGCCTACCCCACCCCCTGCTAACCTGCCGACCTCCTCCACTCTTCCTACCACTCCATCCCCCACAGCTATCTCCTCCTGTACCACTATCCCCTCCCTCCTAGATTGTAAGCTCGAAAGAGCAGGGCCCTCGATCCCCTCATGTTTTGCATTGTATTGGTATTGTTCTGTCACATGTTCTGTCCCCCTTTGTAATGTACAGCGCTGAGCGAACCATTGGCGCTTTATATATACTGTATAATAATAATAATTTAAAAATGCAAAGGGTTAACTTTACCGGCCTAGTGCCGTCTGTGTTACAAGAAGGTGAATATCCACGTTGGGGGCACCCCACGCTTAGGATGCACATAGCTAGGATAGTACCACATTGCTTTCCGTATCATAATACTAAATAAAGTCCTTCCCTTACCACTGTATCACGATGAAGAGCGAACAACAAAATGAGCAAAGAGCAAAGTCATTAAATGGAACTGTTGGGATATATGTGTATATCTATTATCCAGTAACTGTACTACAGAGCCCTGTAGAGCTTCTCTTGTGGGATCTTAACCGCTGGACAGAGTGAAATCTGTTTATGCTTCCTCTATCAAAGAGCCTTTCATCTCCACAAAGCAAATTATTAACACATTCCATTGCAGACATGGGGGTGGATGCCTGGCCTTGAAAAAAGTTGGCCAAAAATGAACATTTTTTTTATAAACACTTTAATGATATTAAAGGGCTTCTTGCCAAAGCCCTTGTGCCTAGTGGAGCACTGCAGGCTGATTGTTTGTCTGCAGAAGTCCTGTGGGTTGAGTCTTTTGTGTCTAGGAATTTTCAATTTGAAAGGCAGCGGTGTGGGAGGTGTTGCACCCCCCCCCCATACTTTCAAGTGAAGCATATATGGTAGAATACTTAAGCTCATTAAATTTTTTTTTGGTCCATGAATGAACATAATCCCCTGTATCTTATTGTTTTTTTTGTGCACTCAGAATAGGAAGATCATAATAAATCAGGGTATAGTGGTGCCAGTAACATTAAAGAACGTCAGAAAAATGTAAATAAGAAGTTACTAGCCTATTTATACCCGCTAAACTTTTAGCTTAAATCAGCTGAATAAATTCTGGGACCATCAAAACAAAAAGTATTTAAAGTCTTAAAGCTTTTTTTTTTAGAAAGCAGCCACAGCATGAGGAGAAAAGCCAGTCCCTGCCAGCATGCTCTAGAGAAGGACCTTTGCTCTATGTAAGCAAGCAGTGGTCTCTCTGCAGAGGTCCAGCACATTCCCTGTTGAGTCCCAACCAGAGGTTTCCAATCAGCAAGGAGTGTAAACTTTGATAAAAGCAGTCCTATGAGTCTGACTTAGCAGGGAGCATTTTGCACCTCTGCAGAAAGACCACTGCTCGCACACTGAGCACCACGGTCTTACCCTGCTGCATGCTTGCAGGGGACAGATTTACCAAGCTCATGATTTGGTTACCTTTTAA